AACACAAACACATAAAACATGCACAAACAGAGAGGAAGACTGAGTTATGAGGGAACGCAAAACAAAACAAGAAAAGGGCCTTCACCTATGCTGACAGAAGACAACAATAGAGGAAGACAGACAAATCTCTCTGGGGAGGCAGTTCCAAAGTTTCAGAGCCATGACAGAGAAGGCCATTTATCCACTTGCCACCCATCTAGCATAAGATGGTGGGAGCACACAAAGCAGAGCCTCTGAAGGTGACTGGGATAATTGGGTAGCTTCATATGAGAGGTGGTGTCCTTCATGTATTTGGTCCCTAGGCTGTATAAGATTTAAAGATCAATACCAGCACCCTGAATTGGGCCAGAAAACAAATTGGGAACTAGTGAAGATGAAACAAGACTTTCTAGTGATGTGCACCCACTCTAGTCAGCGCAGGCCCGTAGCTACCACCCAGCCCCCAGCAGTTTTTATGGGCCCTGCTCCCCAAGCCTCAACTCCCCCTCTCCCCAGGGCCTACCTGTCGGCCTGCTGGTGGGGGAGGACGAAGGCGGTGACTTCAGAGGCGGCGGCACAAGTAGCAGTGGCGAGGCTAAGCTGACAGACCGGCCCAGGCAGGCAGCGAGAATGAATGGAGGGGGGAGAAGCCTCCATCTCGGGCTGCCTACTACCAGACGCTTGCTGCGCCACCCACCAGCAGCAAGTCAAGGAAAAAAGAAGGTAGGCAGGTGCCTCCTTTGGCCCAGGCCAGGCATGCCCAGCTGTGCTCTGGTGCGCCAAGCCTGCACGCGGCACCTCCGTGGGCAGCTGCACACCTCTCCTCTCTCAGCCCCGGGGGGAGTTGAGGGTGGAGATCAGGCTGCCCTTGGTGCCACACCGTGGGAAGGGGCACTGGAGTGGAGGTCCTCAGGAAGGGAGGGAGCTAGGTGCTCCGCATAGAAAGCCTGCCCTTGCGGGGAGGGGAGCTACAGCCACTGGGCATTACCCTCCTTGCCCTGGAGCTTTTGATTTAATTAGCTGGCAGCCCCCCCCCAGGCCCCCTCCCCCCCAAATCCCTAGCTACAGGGCTGAGTCAGCATTCTGGCTGCAGGGTTGCCGGGGGCCCCCGGCTCCCCCCCCCCCCCAACGCAATGGTGGCAGGGCGAGGGAATGGGGCACCACTGGCACCACTGGCTGGCCGGGTGCTGGCGTGCTGCGGGCCATGTCCATGGCTGTCAGCCAAGGGGCTGTCTCCCGGTGGCAGAGCACCCAGCTACCTGGAGGCTGCCTTGGGCAATAAGGAATGGCGTGGCGGTGGTAGGATTGACCTGGGACTTGCACACGTCCCAGCACTGGAAGGTCCATCCCAGGCGGCAGCCCGGACAGACTGAGGGTGAGAGGCCGCCTGGTGGGTCTGTGGGCGGGGCCGAGGAAACGGAGGGAGGCAATCCAGGCATGGGATTGGCCCCCGTGCTGAACAACAGGTCACAGACCCAAAGGCTAGGGAGGCGTGTGGAACGTTCAAGCGAGTCTCACATGAAGTGAGCTTTATATATAAGAGAGATTTGCGAACATTATTTAAGTATCTAAATTTGAAACAGAAAATTTTCCTGAAAAACCCACTTTACTGATCTTCACATTTCTGAAGTGAACTGCAACTCACAAATGCTCATATTACAATAAATGTTTTCAGTCTTTAAGGTGCCACTGGACTTTTATTGTAGTTTAGTTTTGCATGACATCTCTACTGAACCTGCAAATGGTTCCTGTATAGCTATGGGCAAGCTGTTGCCACCCCCAGCTAGGTTAAAGCTGAAATGGTGCCCTTAGGGAAAAAAAAGGAAGAACCAGCTTAATTTGGAAATCGTATCAAACTGAAAGTGGCCATGGATGTTGCTATGTCATAAACGTCAAAACTGACTTCACTTCAAAGAGAAACCCCAATCAATCCAACAAGTGGTTATTTAAGAATCTGGGAGTATAATGTCACAGGGGTGGAAACGTCAGAGGGTCAAAAATACTGATTTTACTGACCAAAATTCCAAAACAACTAACCAAAAACTGACAAATTACTGAACAATTTAATGTCAGCCTACTGATAAGCTAGAGTTTTAAATGTAAAACTAGGACTTCATTAAAAATGATTATTATCTGGCCTCCACTTAACCCCATCGCCAGCCCCATAGTTAGATGTGACCCAGATTTTTTTTATGAATAGAGGAAGTTTCCATTATTGTACAAAATTTAAGGCAAAAAAAAATTCCCTTTAAAAATAATCACATACTGCAGATAATAAAACAGCAAAAACATTATCAAAAACCAAACATAAAGTAATAATTATGACAACAAAACATAATTACTGTAAGGTAAGACTTTGCTACCAAAATGTTTTACATTAGAGTCTTCTGAAGCAATTTGTGCATTTTTTTCTGATAAGCCTTCTTTAACCTAGTAGTGATATCAGCATTTTTACTTTAGCAGTTTGCAGCTGCATTCTTGTAGACACTTGATAGCAATGCCGGCTGAATTCAATGGGAAATTTCAAGTAAATGTGTACACCTGTACACAGCAACTCACCAAGTGCATATGCTGAAAGATTATGATATGCCACCTTGTTCACAAACATATTATGCAAAATCCAAAGACAAGACACCTTCGTTTTATTCTCTGAACTGCCAACTTTTAAGTAATTCAATCTTTGTTCCCCAGCAAAGGGTAAGAAGCTCACCCAGGGCTGAAAACAGTGTCATATAAATGTACCTACAGGCAATCACACATTTTTGTTGGAGTTGCTGGTAATTGTGAGGTTTCAGAACTTCATTCTCCCTGATATTGCATGCTTTCACATTAAAGCATTTTGAGAACTGTAAATCCCAACACGCACAAAGCCAAAAAGGTAAAATTCGCAGCAGATAACATGCTATATGCTATTTAGGTCACCAGAAAAAACTGCAATTTGTATTTTCCCTGGAAAAATCTACTTCACTAGTACAAGCACTTCAGAACCAGCAATTTATCTTCCCCTAACTTTTTGAGTTGTGGTTGTATTTACATAACCGTCTAAGCTTCTCATTCCCACCCCCCACCCCCCAGCCTTGGAAAGGTGTCTCTGTAGATCACTTCAGTGAAAGTGTAGAAACCATGTGCCTTGAGATGTCAACTACAGAACCACCTGCCACAGCTTCTCACATACAAGCTGACAAGTGCACTCCTTCATGTGGATCAATATCATTGCTGTGTAGGCTAGATTTTCCAAATCACTGTTTGGAACCGGGAAATAACTCAGGCCACATTTCACATCCTGTGCCCTTACAAACAATACTAGACAAGCTTCCCAAGTAGGAGCTCATTGTGTGTTCGATAGCCTGATCCTCAAGGGCTTGGCTTTAAGATCAAGTTGGAGAGAAGGAAAGCTATTGCTTTCTCCCAGTCTTTGTCTCAAGTGTGCTCCAAAACACAGTGCTTCAGGACTAGGCTTGCAGTAGCACAGTTACGGAGGGTAAGTACTAATGCTATCTTTGCATATCTTAATAGATTACCTGTTTAGACTAGATAGGATGCTTTGGAAGGCGGGAAGGCTGGTAAATGTTTAGAACTAATCTGAAAAGCTGTTCATGACACCATTGCAGAATGCATTACCTCTCTCAGCTAGCTCCTTCTGTCAAGTTTACGTTGCATCCATGGTAAAGAATTAGTGTATGTGTTCCTTGCAATTAGAGCAGAAAGAGACACTGCCATATCAGTACAATGTGGATCAGAATTAATATCACTGCACTATATTAATTGAATGTTAATATGATACAATGTAGCTGGAAAGGCTTTGACAAACTGAGGCCCAGTAGTTCAGCAAAAGTGGCTACTTTTGGAAGACAGGGCTGAGTGTTTTTAGAGATTAAAATTTCAGTTAATGCTGTGGCATGATAAGCATTCAGAAACTTCAGCTGATCTTATGACTATGTACAACACGGGCCTCTGGGATAAGTAGCTTCTTGTGACAAAACTGTTTTCACTAAGAAGGAGCCCAATACTCCTCTGCCCTTTCTATGGAGTATTTCAGTGCGTAGTGTTTCATATACCTTCAGAGGGGGCACGTTACTATTATAACTGCACAGGTACAGATGGGCGAACAAAAAGAGGCAAAGACAGGACACATTATATCCAATATTAATCAATTCAAACTATCATTCATAAACACTTTCTGTGAGTCACTACACTTGCATTGGAAGAGGAACACTTAAACACCCCTTAACCACAATTAAGCCTTCTAACACTCTTTACTAACAACATTCGTGAGGTATCCACTTTGTGTCTCCCCCCTCCCAGTTTTTTTAAAGCTACTGGGGCTAAAAGGAACCCAGAGTCCAGATTTGAATGGGGCAGGGGAAAGGGACATGTAGAGGGTTAAACCTGTTCCTTGCCCCAGTACCATCACCATATGCCATAGCTGCCCCCTTCCCACGATTTTTCTCCGAGCAGTTCCAATAATAATCCTAATAAATAGAACAGCCAATGAAGTCTTCACTTTGACACCTTAAGCAGAGTAACTGAAGGGCGTGGCAACTTTTGCACGGTCTAGCAGGCCAATTTCCGTAGGATTGTTTTCCACAAACAGAAAGGAAACATATCCCCGCGTGGGCCAGGTCTGCACATAAACATCGCAGGGGGTTCATACTTCCGCCCCGACCCCTCGGCACCCAAACTTAGGAGAGGGAATTACTTCACCCCGAAGAACAGCGTTTTCTGGTTGCCATCGCATCAGCCTTTTCCTTTGCCTCCGGGGCGGGGCGGCTTCACAGAAGGGGCCTTTGGTGCCACACCACCCCCGCAGATTACTGCGCCGCCAAAGCACAAACGAGGCAAATGTGGCAGGAAGGAAGCCCCTGCGAGGGCGTGTCCTTCCAGCCGGGGGAGGGGGGGGCGCGTTGTCTGGGGGGCTTCCAGCGGTGCCTGGGCATGTGGCTTGTTGTCGCCCTTAGGCGGGGGCAGAATCCAATCTCCCGTGCGTGCTTTTCCGTGCTGGAAGAGAAACGGCCACTCACCTGCTGCTCGTCCTCTGGATGCTGCTGCTGCTGCCGCCTGTGCCGGGCTGCCGCTCTCCCACCTAGCGGCAGCAGCGATGGCGCCGGCTCGCGCTCCCACTCCTTCTCCAGCACACACTTGGGCGCCGGCAACAGCAACTCCTCGGTCGAGCCCATTGGCTCCGTCGTGCCGGGGGCTAAGCCGAGCGGGGCTCCAGGGCTCAGGGCAGCTCCAGGCTGGGGCCAGCAAGGAGGAGAACGGGGCGGGAGGCTCTGTCACGCCGCTCGGGCAGGGCGTGTCTAGAGCGCCGTCACGCGCTTCGGAGAGAGAAGGCGGAGGGAAGGAGGAAGGCGCGCGCGTGCGTCAAGGGGTGCAGCCGTCTTGCTCTACAAACCGAACTACCGGGCCTGTGCGGGGTGTATTTATGCAGGAATGCCTCCTCCTTGTGTTTCCAGATGGGTTCTGTCGACACCCGCCCCCTGCTGGTGTAGTGGACTCAGATGCAACACTCCATGAGAGGTGGGCTATGGTGGGGTAACAGGTCGAAAGAGGAGAGGCTTTGAGCTGGCCGGTTCGATTGGACGAAGGGGCTGGGAGACCTACAGACAGGTGTGCGGCCAAAGAGGTGCCTCTTCTCCGTGCCCGTCGTGCGCCTCTTTTCCATTCTCAGTTCACAGGCATGTGGCTATATACACTCTATTCATGATGCTACCAGAAGATCCCTGGGCTCTCTTCTTATACAGGTGTGCACCATTATGCACTTACAAGGAGCTGAAGTTCTTTTTTTCACTCTCTCTTTTCGCTGGCTTTGCATCCTCTAATCCTGGCATCTGGATAAAAGGATAGTCTTCTGATCTGGCCAATAAAAGCCTGGCTGTATGGCAAGTCTTCGGTAGATAAATACATAGCCTACCCAGAGTGGAGATCTCAGATTTTAGAATAGATTTTCCTCTGTTGGAGGCCTACCTGTTATGCAGATGTCAACAGCACAGAAATCCTGCAGTAAATTTTAGCCCATCTTGTGTATTTGGGGGAAATGGCTGCCAAGACTAGAAGTTTGTAACTCTCACACTCCTGGCCACAGTAGGGCTTAATTTTAGGTTGTGTGAATGCAGTGAGCTAATAAAGAGTAAGTAACTATTGTTTGCTAGTTGCTCTAGGTGTTACACTGAGCTGATAATGCAATTCCTCCCCCTCTGTACAGTACTTTTATGTATTTGAGCCCACTTTGCGGGGAGGGTGGGGTAAAAATCCCAACAAATAAATAAAAATAAATATTTACCAGGCCTACTTGACACAATAATAAAGCAAACAACAATAAAACAAAACCAAGCATATAATTTTAAAAATCATAGCAATAAAAGATATAAATAAAAAATCCAAGACAATAGTTAAAAAGAGAATACAAAACCATCAGTAAAAGAAGCAGCCCAAAATTACAGTCATCAAACAGGGTTTCATTAGACAGCTAAAAAATGATGGAACTCCTTAGTTTAAAAGCCTGACATCTAAAGGGAAAGTGAGCACCAGTGAGCCTTAAGGGGCCAGGCATTCCAACGGTAGCATTCAAGTAAGCACAGTCATTCAGAGCTAGGAGACAGAGCTCTCAGCTGGGAACCACTGACATGAACTGACCGAGGGCCAAACTAGATGTTATGGAGGCCATGAGTCTGACCCATGGCCACCAATACCATTTTAGAGAAGAATTTGACCATGTAAAATGCCTCAAGCAGACCCACAGTGCAGCAAGAGAAAGCAATTTTGTGTCTCCCCCACCTGTGCCTTTTCAAGTGCTGAAACACCCTTGGGGCAACAGCCTCACAGCATTTTTAAATGGCCAAATTCTTCTCAAATTCGTTAGCAGCCACAGCTCCAACCCAGGGCCACCCTCTAGTTTGGCTCTGAGAGACAGTGTGGTGCAGTGGTTACAGTATTGAACTGAGATCTAAGACCTTGGTTCAAATGTGTACCAAAAGGTTGAGAAAACAAAATTGTGATATATATTGCAATACGTAAAGAATGACCAATTCAGTTGTGTGCACAAGGCACTACACAGATAATATAATGACAATTCAAGAACAGGATGCAAACAGCTACAGGCAGTGGGACAAAACAAAGTGACATATGCATTTTAGCAAAACAGCCTTCATCAGTGGCTTACACTGTAAACATAACTAGTATAGTCATATCCCACTTAGACAATGGGAAATCATAATAGACCCCAAAGACCAGTTGGATGACCAAAAAGCTTGAAATATGTTATGAGCACCTTAAAACAACAGGCTTCAATAATATCATTCACATCTAGATATCACTGATTGAAATAGCAGTACCAATATACCTCCAAACTGATACCAAATAGCTTTGTGAACACAGTTGTTTTGGCCATTATTTGTATATTGCAATATACAGTGTTCTGTTTTCTCAGCCTTTTGGTTTACACTTTCTTGGTTGGGTATTCTCCCCCAATTTTTTGTGATCAGTCATCTGCTATGCCATAAAAGCTTGCTGGATGACCTTGGGCCACGTTCTCTCAGCCTAACCTACCTCACAGGACCGTTGTTGTGTGGATAAAATTGACCAGGAAAGCATAGTTTTGTAAACTACTTTGTATTCCCATTAGAGAAAAAAGTGGGGTATAAATATCTAAATAAATGGACTATATAGCCTTAGCCAAGCTCCCAGTCTTTCCATTGGAGCACATCCCTGCCTGAAATGTAAGAATATTTTTAAAATAACTTTTTAATTGCTTTTTCACTACATACTACAAAGGGTAGGAGTAAGGGAAAAACTAGCCTAAAATACAAAGCTAGGCAAGGATCATATTACAATAGTTATACATAGGTTTACCCAAGTCTTGATGCCTTCCCCACGTTTAAGATTTAAGAAATGAAGGTTAATAGATATTATTTCAGAATCAAACTAGCACAAACATGATTATCCAAAATAGTTGTATCCTAGTATTTTATATATTAACAAAAAGAAAGCAGGCTTTCAGTATTAAGCTATTTATCATTCCCCCCCCCCCCGTCCTTGTTTTTGTCATAAGTCAATCTGACTTTAAGAAATTTAGGGGCTACCTCTCCTTTGTCGGATTCTGAGTCTTCTGAAGGACTGCCCAAGGTACTGCCGCTGCTTCCCGATCCATGTTTGCTGTTTTCCTCCGTTATGTTATTATCCCCTGCCTTTCCTTTTCCTTTCGCTGTTACTTGGTGCTGTTCCAAAAATGTATTTGCTTTTGTAACAGAGTCAATCTTTTCTTTTTTCTCTTTGTAGTTGAAGATATGTTCTTCTGGTATTAGCCATCTGTAGGGGGTGGAATTTTTCTGTAAAAAAGATGTCAGATTTTTATACTGTTTACTCTTTTTTCTTATCTCTAATGGAATGTCTTTTAGAACTCTCATTCTTTGATTTTTAGGGTTATCCCATTAGTCACTTTCAGTATTGTATCTCTTGTTGACCTCTTGAAGAACTTAACAAATACTTCGCCAGGCAGTTTATTTTTCTGAATAAAGTCTGAATATGTTCGATACACCATATCCATATAGTTTTGTAGAAATTCTGCTTTAAGATCTGCCACTGGAGCCATCAGGACATATGATGATTTTTCCATTTATAGCTGTAGCAGCTGTCCTTTATCAGAGGTTCTCTCTTTCCCCACGACCTCCAGTCTCTGATTTATTGCGCTTGTCTTAGCATCAACTTTTTTCAACGTTTTAACTGTTTCTTCTGTTCTTATGCTGGTTTTTTCAATTGCTTCTGGAGAGCATCAAAATTATGGTTGAGATTAGTCATCTGGTCCAGCAGGGGGCGCAGTGCTATAGCTAACATGTTAGGGAAGTCAGTGGTTACTTCCAGTCTGGAGGCTGGCATCGCTGAGGTGGCAGTTCCTGAAGAAGGTCCCCTCTTAGGCACCATTTTATCAGCCCATTGTGTCATTGTTTACACAGAAAGAACACGTTCTTTTAAGTCTCTGAAAGTCTGTTAATTCATGCACTTTCTACTATTCTGCACACTACTCGGGTGGATTAATGTTTTTCAATCAAAACCGTCTCTCTGCTCCTTGTATTTGCTCTCCCAGTAACTTTTCCAGGGGTGAAATTAACTCCTCCCCCCTCCGCTACATCGACTTGGGGCTTTGGGGTGATTATCCGTTTGAGCACTTGGCTAATTTTGAAAGAATGCTCACTCATGCTTCATTCTACGTGTCAGTTCCAAAGCTAGGGAAAGCTTCTGAGTGCTGGATCACTTGCTTGCTTGGTCCGGCATGTGCCTCTACCTCCATTACTGGTCTCATGGCGGCGGAACCTATCGGGGCAAAGAGGAGCCTTGATTCGTTAGCCGTCGCCTCAGAAGAGGCACCCCTCATGCCCCAGGCTACGAGCCCCCTCCAAGGGCTTGGGGGGGGGGGAAGCAGCAGATTCATCCGGGACCCCTCCCGTCTGCTGCAGTTATGGGCCGCTCTAATTGGAGCACGATGGACTGCACCCGCCAGTGAGTTGCCAAAACCAGAAATCCTCAAGAATAATTTTAATACAGTACTTTTAAAGGGTTTATGTTTACTGAGATAATGAAGTACTTTGAATACCCTAAATAGCTATAAAATACTAAATATTATCAGGAGTTGTGAAATATCTTGCACGGGTAAAAATACAATAGGGATGTGTGCTCAAATATATCTGGTCAGAATATAGGCCTGAAAAATACCTTATTGGTATTTTGGGGTATATTTGGGTATCTGGAGTGGTAATCTGTTAGCCAAATTGCTCTATTACTTAATAAATATGGGGAATTATAATTATTAATATGCAATTGGCTTAACTATAGGATCAGACCTGTGTATACCAGAGTTAGAATTCCCAAGAACCCAGGAACAGACTCAAAGTCTGGGTGGCTAAAATAATGATTTCTTTACTAAATATTCTCAAGCATACAAACAATATTTGTACATTCACGCACACAATACAGAACTAAGGAAGCAGAGGTAATTGATAGCTTATAGAGGGGTGATATAACCTGTCCAGACATGCAGAGGCCCTTGAAGAAAGGATTGTGGCCTAAACCCAGGGAGTTTAGGGGTAGACTGCCAGTTGGCATCATGGCAGAAGCACACACTCTAAAGGCCACGTGTTCGCTGGGATATAGCCATTGGAAAACAATGCAGACCAATGGGTGGCCCTGGGGGCTGGTCTCAGGTGAGAACAATAGATTACGTGGACCAATTATGAGTCCCAGGGGTGCGTGGCATTAGGATGGGCAAGGCCTGGATGTGACCAATAAA